CAAATCTTCCTGATTATCAAGTTTAACCAATTTGTGTTTTCTTTGATCTTTCAAATGGCATATTCGTTTTTTTTAAACAACTCCCTTTGTGTAACAGAGGGTTACTTCCTTTGCTTTGTCCCAGTCAGCTTTCCTCATTGTTTTTATTGGAACATCTGAACCTTCAGCTAAAAAGAGCCAAACCATTGTTATGCAGTGTTTTTCAAATCATAGCAATCCCCTATAGGGTTTCCAAGGCTATAAATCTTTACAGCAGACAGCCTCTTTCTTCTCTCATGGAGCAGCTGGTGGGCTTGAACTAGAAGCTTAATGTTTACCAGACAGCACCACCAGGGTCCACACTCACTCTCCTTGCAATCGAGTGGATCCCGGGAGCAGACAGCCTCCTCTTTCTCCCACAGAGCAGCTGGCGGGTTGTTCTAACTGCTGCCCTTGGAGTTAGTGGCCTCGTGTGAAAACTGCGACACTCCAGGGACCTATCGCCCCAAATCAGACTCACAGCCCAGTCAATTCCGACTCCTGTCGACCTAGAGCTGCCCCACTTCCCTCTGAGTTTTTGAGACTGTAACTCGATTGGAGCAGAAAGCCCCATCTCTCTAGAATTCCTTTTAAGAACTAGGTACATGATAGGCTTTGAATGAAAAGTATTCTTCATACTAATTTTTCAAATATCACAAATATTTTGTAAGTTCGAATTAAACATCTTTCCACTTTAAAAGTTCCTTATCCACAGCTAAGTGTCCTTGACACACAATATGTGGTACACAACCACAATGCCATCCTACACAATCGTAATGAGTTCACAAAACATAACAGGGAAGAATCTGGAGGACATTAGGCAGTGTGAAATAAGTCAGTCATTAAAGAATATTATATGGGACCACTTTTATAAAAAGTAAAGCACGGTTTTCTACACCGAAAGAAGATTCTTTGATGGTTCCAGGAATGGGAAGGGGACAGACGATCACTACTAGATGGTAGATACATGCCAATTCTGGTGATATGGGGAAGTCTGCACATGACCGAGGTAAATGAAGCTACCTAGAAGTACGAAAGGATAGACAACTGAGGTACATGCTATTGACATATGTACTTCAGCAGCAACAGTAATAACCACATTGTGAGTGACTATACAGTAGAGTATGCTGTATTTATGGAAGAGGGCACATGAGAGTACATATGATAAACATAGAGGCTTGTAGATATTTGTATATCCATCTATAGTCATATAGAGCACCTGGGGGCAGAATCATGGCACTTTCTTTGTCACAAACACCTAGAGGAACTAAGTTACTGGGCTTGAAAGCGAAGGGCCACAGTCTCTCAGGGGACATTTAGGTCAATTAGCATAACATAGATCATAAAAGACACAGTCCTACATGCCAGCTTGGTGAGTCGGGCCTGGGGGTCTTAAAAACCTGTAAGGGGCCTTCTAACATATAACTGTTGCTTTCCTCCCATCTTAAGTAAAGGACCGTGAAGGAGCCAAGGCAGCAAGTATCCAAGGACCAGAGGCCCACCTGAATGACATCCTCCTCTAGTATTAAGACCAAACCTACGTGGTATGTATCTTACACTACCAGTGACCCTTTTTAGAACGGGAGAAAAATGTAGAGTAAAACTCAAGTTCATAAAAAAGACCAGACTTATTGGATACCCCACACTACCGGCCTTCCCACCCAGAACTGAGGCTATCCTGGTGGTCATCTTTCAACCAAACAACAGACTGGCCAACAAATAAACAGCATTAGTAAGGAATGTGCTCCTTAGAACACTTAACCTATAACCCAGGAAACATTGGACAGGGGAACTGATGGGAGGAAAATGGGGGAGGCAGGATGGAACTGGAGAGTGAGCTGATAACATGGGACAATGTGTGTCTGAATAGAAAACTAATTCATTGTATAAACTTTTATCTTAAAAACCTCAAGATGAATTACATACAAAATATGTTGAGGGAAAAAAAAAGGTTCTCTATTCCCTAAGTTGAAATCAAAGGAGGTAGTGATATTATGGATTATATGTAAAAAGTGGGGACAATCAGCAGCAGAAAAATCTATTAACATTCTCCCAGCACCAATTTAGTGAAATTAACATCTTAATCACGAGAGCTGCAGCCATTTGCAAAATGAATTATACAATATTCCCAAAAAATCTCCTGGAAAGTGCAGTCGTGGGTGAAAGAAAACGTTGTCAGTGTAACGTGTAACGCACTACAAGAAGGATTGGCTTGTGCGGCAGAGCAACCGTGGGAGCAGAGCAGTGAGTCCCCGAGGGAGTACAAAGGACAGACTCGGGGGCCAGAGCATGG